CTTTCTTACCTTGCGATACTCAATCGCTCGTTTTGGGCGTACATGGATAACCGGGTGGATCTGAGAACTTTCTAGCAATTCTAGGTGATAAGCTACCTGACCAGTGCGCTTCAGAATCTGATAAGGTCCATAATAGCGAACTCCAAGCTTAGTCGCTGCCCTTTGTGCTGTTGTGCGCTGCCTGAATGGTCGTAGTTTCAGATAGACATACTCTCCGGGTACAAAATTTTCCTCACGCCTTTTTCCGTCTGCGAAGGCTTTGGTTCGATTAATCGAACCTTCGAGATTTTTCTTCAACTCTCTCAACATCATATCTCGTTCCTCGAGTTCTCGACCAACTTCATCATTGACCGTACTTCCTTCTGAATAGTTGACCAATGTCGGGGGTTTACGCCTCGTATACCAGCTCAAATGGCGTCATCTTGGTCGACTCGTGGTAAGTGGTGTTGTACCAATACTCAGCCCAAGGCAAAAAGTTTTCCCACCTCTTTGGAAATTGGTGGACATAGCACCTTAAGTATTGTTCAAGAGTTCGGTTGGTTACCTCCATTTGTCCGTCTGTCTGTGGGTGGTAGGCTGAGCTCATAGATAACTTGGTCCCTTGCAACTTGAACAATTCAGACCAAAAGCTGCTCATAAAAATATGGTCTCGATAGAAACAATGGATCGTGGTGCCCTATGCAGTTTGATCACGTACTCCACAAATAGCCTGGCAATGGACTTTGCAGTGTAAGGATCAATGATGGGTATGAAATGAGCATACTTTGTAAGACGATCCACCACGACCATAACACCGTCGAATCCATTAGAACTCGGTAACCCTTCTATGAAATCCATAGTAATGTCTTCCCAGATTGCCTCGGGTACCGGCAGAGGTTGCAGCAGCCCGCTCGGCCATCGTGAGTCAGCCTTAGTGCGTTGACAATCGTCGCACCTTGTTATGTAATCTCGGATGGTATTCTGCTGCCCTAGCCAGAAGAAAGTATTGGCTATTCTCATCCATGTGCGGTAGACACCCGAGTGACCTTCAATCTTAGAATCGTGGAAGTGCTGCATGATTTTCTCGCGTATCTGTCCACCGTCGGGAACGAATACTCGGCCTCAGTGTAGAAGTAGACCATTGTGCAACTCATAGTCAATAGCAGTCGTCTTACCTGTTTCGATCGCTTTGCGCAAGTCCTGGCAATAGGTTTCTTCCTCTTGCGCCTTCCTGACTTCCTCCCAAATAGTCTAAGTCGGTCCAGTGATAGCATTCAGCTCGGCTACATCAGTCCGTCTGGATAATGCGTTCGCTACCGCATTCTGTCGACCTTGCCGGTAGACTATCTCAAAATCAAACCCCATTAGTTTGGAAACTAACTTCTGCTGCTTGGGGGTAACAATCCTTTGCTCGAGTAGATGCTTGAGTGGCTGCTGATCAGTCACAATCCGAAAGCGCTGGCCCAATAGATAAGGCCTCTAGCACCATACGGCCTCAACAACTGCCAACATCTCCTTCACGTACACAGATAGACCTAGTCGAGTCTTGCCTAGTGCTTTTCTGAGATAGGCTAAGGGTCGTCCTTCTTGCACCAGCACAGCTCCGATCCCAATGTGACTCGCATCTGTGTGTACCTCGAACAAGATATCAAACCTTGTCATGGCGAGCACTGGCGTTGTAGTCATGGCTACTTTCAGTTTCCCAAACGCCTCCTCGCTAGCTTCAGTCCACGTGAACCCGCCTTTCTTAGTCATCTTTGTCAGTGGCTTGGCGATGGTTCCATAACCATTCACGAACTTTCTGTAGTAGCCCGTGAGCCCTAGAAATCCCCTTAGCTGTGTGAGACTTGTCGGTTTAGGCCAATCGATCATAGCCTCAATCTTTCGGGGATCAACCTTCATGCCCTCGTGGGATATGAAATGCCCTATATACTCAACCATCCTCTGCCCGAATGAACACTTCGATGGCTGGATGTGAAATGAGTTGGCCTCCAAGATTTCGAGCACCACTATCAACTGCTCAAGGTGTTCAGTCCACGACTTTGAATAGATCAGGATATCATCAAAGAATACCAAAATGAACTTACGTAGATGTTCTTTGAAGATGGAATTCATAGCAAACTGGAACGTGGATGGGGCGTTGCACAGTCCGAATGGCATCACCAAATACTCATAGTGCCTCTGGTGCGTACGAAAAGCGGTTTTAGGTATGTCGGCCTTATGGAGCCGAATCTGATGATAACCAGCCCTCAGGTCGAGCTTTGAAAAATAGCGTGACCCAGCTAACTCATCGAGCATGTCGTCGACACTAGGGATAGGAAATCGGTCCTTGATAGTTGCGGCATTCAGAGCTCAATAGTCAGTACAGAACATCCACGTGCCATATTTCTTTTTAGCTAACAGTACTGGAGAAGAAAACGGACTCTTGCTATGCTGGATTAGACCTGACTCAAGCATCTCGGCCACCTGCCATTCGATCTCAGTTTTCTAAAAGTGAGCGTAACTATAAGGATGGACATGTATGGTATGCTGCTCATTGATCAGTGGTATGCGATGATCGAACTGTCGGTGTGGCGGTAGTCCCTTAGGCTCGCCCAGTACTCCTTCAAATTCCTCAAGAAGCTCGCGCACATCTCCTTGCTGTTGTTCATCTCGGTCTATGTGCGCCTCAGTGTTCTCGACCACTACTGCAAATATTTGGCCTCCACATCGCCAAACGTTTTCGATGCTCTTTAGTCCTACCTCCTTGGTACCTTTTTCATTGCCAGTACTCAGAGTGACTTGTCGACCTCCAGAGTTGAACTCCATAATTCCCGTTCGATAGTCTGTAGTCACCTTGCCTAACCCTTCGAGCCACTGAACTCCCAAAACGACATCTGGCCCAACCAAAGGTAAGGCATAGAGATCAGCCTTCACAGTAACTCCGCTGAACTTGATTGGCACCTTCCAGAACGACTCAGTACATTGTAGCCTCTCTCCATTGGCTACTCGTACTTCAACGGGCTCGATTTTTGTGGTTGGCAACTTCAACTTTTGAGACAAATCAGTGTTGATGAAATTATGTGACGAACCATTGTCTATGAGTACGATTATCCTGCGATCCTGGACCCACGCTGGTAGTCGCATCGTTCTTGGCCCTCTAATTCCAGCCATTGCATGCATCGAGATCTCAGGTTCTTCATTAAATGCTTCCAAGTTGTCCTCTGGATCCGGTTCTTCCTTGATTTCATCTTCCTCATCGCTGGGATTAGCTACTTCAATCACAAAAGCTTGTTTACACTGATGGCCTGGCGTAAACTTTTCTTCACATTTGAAGCATAGGCCTTTCTCGCGTCGACGTTTAAGTTCCTCGGGAGACAGCCTCCTTACTACCGATCCTGCCGGCCAATTGCTGACGTT